CACACACACAACACACACATACATACACACACACACACACACATACGCACACACACACACACTCACATACACACACACATACACACACACACATACACACACACATACACACACATACACACACACCCACACACACACATACACACACACACACACACACACACACACACACACACACTCACACACCTTCCACGATGTGATCCATGTTGAAGTATCCACACTCCACCTGGATCAGCTTCAGTGACATCACACGGATCACGAACTCTGTGCTGTTCTGAATAAACAAATAGATAAATAAGCAAATAAGCAAATAAATAAATACATGAATGAATGATTAAATAAATAAATACATAAATAAACGAATGAATGAATGAGTGACTGATTGAATGAATGAAAGAATGAATGAATGAATGAATAAACGAATAAATAAATAAATAAATTAATTAATTATTGAATAAATGAATGAATAAATGAATGAATAAACAGAAAAACAGATAAATAAAGGAATAAAGTAATAAACAGATGAATGAGTACATAAGTGCATTTAAGTTTAGGGAAAAGTTTGTTCTCTTAGAAGGGGGTGGGGGAGAGGGGTACTGATATGCAAAATGTAGTTACTCAAAACACCAACAACCTTTTCATTCTCTTTATAATTTTACCCAAGTTAGGGTTTTTTTCCTTGTTTTTTTCTACATTGAGAATTTCAATTTCGACAAAATATTTCTTGAACTTTTTCAAACCATTCCACACATCAAGAAGCTGTAATGAAAAAGTACCCCCACACACACAATCATAAGAACGATATATGTTTGACAGGATCCCTGGTGCACAAACTGTACGGTACCGGCCAGGATGTCACGTGCCCGGTACTCGGCTGTCAAGTTTTTTGGACATCCGCTCCCCTCTCCCTCACTCCCTCACTCCCTCACTCCCACACACACCCACACACACCCCCACATACACACACTCACTCACATGTCTGTCCATAGATCCCTGGTGCTCAAACTGTATGGCACTGGCCAGGATGTCACATGCTGTGTCCTCGGCTGTCTTGTTGTCCCTCTCTCCCCCTCCCCCACATCCCCCACACCCCACACACCATTACACCCCCACACCCACACACACTCACTCACACATCTGTCCACAGATCCCTGGTGCACAAACTGTATGGTGCTGGCGAGTATGTCACGTGCTGTTTCCTCGGCTGTCAAGTTTTTTAGACATCCGCTCCCCTCTCCCTCACTCCCTCACTCCCTCACTCCCTCACTCCCTCCCCCCCCACACCCCCACACACATCAACACACACCCACACACACTCACTCACATGTCTGTCCATAGATCCCTGGTGCACAAACTGTATGGTACTGGCCAGGATGTCACGTGCCCGGTACTCGGCTGTCTCGTTGTGCCTCCCTCCCCCTCCCCTC